CAGTTACATAATAACTAGCCTGTATTCTTTTAAAATGCCAGGATCACGAAAGTGAAGGAAAGACTGAGGAACCACTCTAGATTGCAGGGGTTTAGGATATGGCAACTAAATGTAGCCCAGGATTCCAAACTAGCTCCTTCTGCTGCAGAGAACATTGTTAGAATAATGAGTAAAACACAAATGGAGTGTGAGGATTAGGTGGAGGGAATATCAGTGTTTGAAATTTCTCCCCTTGAAGGCTGTAAAATGGTTATGCAAGAGAGTTCTTATTTGTAAGAAATATACACAAATGTACTTGAACAAAGGAGAATCATATCAGAAACATTCTGAAATAACTTAGGGGAAAGACATGCTTTGTACTGTATTTAAAACTTTTTAGTGAATTTGAAGTCATTTTTTAAATTTTTTTAAATTATCACAAAAATGATTAGGAAGTGAGTAAATAGAAATAAGTGAGACCCACACTTTCTAAAAGGTTGGCAGGAAAGAGCGTGACAGACTACCAGGGGAGAGGAGACTTCCCTGAGCTTGCAGAGCGTTCCAGTCGCCTACATGGAAGAGCCCCTATGTGAAGAATAAACAACTGTAGGATAAATGGTGATCATTGCAAAACAGATCTGGAGTCAATGAGTGTCCTGAGCATAGCAGGGAGGAATGGTAGCCAGGTGTGTCAGGCATGGTATAAACTGATGTGGTGGGCTAGAGCAGATTTATACCTAAGAACCAACCTTCTCTCTGAATGGCAAATAGAATGGTCTTCTGAAAGTGACTACTTGTCTGCTCTGTTAAGCATGGTAAACTAAGTATGGTTTAGTCTTTGAAATTGAAATTACTTCATTTTAAAATATATTAGAATAATTTAATATTTCTCAGTGATGTCATTCCTAGAACAGGTCTTCTTAGGATGGCAGAAGAATTTAGAAAATTACCATTGATATTGGAAAAAAAGAAGAAAAGCTTGTTTTTTGTTTGGCAGCAGGTAAAACATGTATGTGTATTAAACATATTTATGAAGATGATTTATAAGCCATTGCATTAGACAGAACTGGTTTCTAGGCCAGTTAGTTAGAATATGAAACCCTGATTCAGAATCAGATCATCTATGCCAAATTTAATACTGCGTTCCTTGTTGTTCAGTAGGCCATCCCTCTGCAGTAGTGCAGTTTACTCCCACCTCACCCGGTTCATTTAGAGTCTTATCTGGCTCCCCCATTACAGCTACAGAGCTCTGAAGATTACTGAAGTGACTCTTCTTAATTCTCCCAAGACCGTTTATAACTAGTGTCATTCTAGATATACAGGGGGCCCATTGATCCATCACAAGTAGTGGGACCTTAGATTTTCAGCCTTCGTTCCTTTGCAGGACTCTAATTGAAAAAATCCACGATGATTCTCATTTTGGCCAGCATACCATTTGGTGGTCCAGAGAGAACCATGGGACACTGTACCTTGCTTGTGGTGCTGTCAAAACATAAACCCCGTGGTTAGTGCCCTGTTCCTCACTTTGTTGTCCCTTGGGGTCTCAAAGATGATAGGCCTGGGAAATTTTAATGCCAGATGACCCCTTATTTGAGTGATGATTGAGGAGTAAATGAGAGAAAAACAAGAACACAGTCTGTCCAGGACTACTGAGTTGACTGACATATTTTGAGCAATAAACTTTCTTAGAGTAGACCCTCTTCCCCTCCTCCATTGTTTCCTTCACTATGCTTGTCCTAATTTAGAATGTCACTAAGACACTAATACTTCCCTTCCTATTCCTGTACTGTGTAGCAACATATGGGTCTCATTTTATGAAACTACCTGCATAAAGCATTTTAATCTCTATTATTAGTCTCCAGGAGCAGGAACTATGTCTTCTACCTTCTTTCCCCACAAAGTCTGAATAAATGCTTTTGATTAATTCAACCTAGTATAACAAGCATATATCATCATCTGAGCAAAGGACTCTGATAGGTACATAGAATATAAGTTATAGGCTTTCTACTGTTAAGAAACTTCCGAACTAAAAGGAGAGAGAAAAGATCTGCTCAAATTGTTATAATACAGAGTAAAATGTGGTAACTAAATACCATAAATAAACACTTTGAATACAAAGGAAAAGGGTGAAGTGTTTACACCATGATAGTGAGAGAAGTCTTGAGAGACTTGACATTTGAGTTTGATTTTGAAAAGTGAGTGTACGCACATGAGTAGAGATGGCTAGAGTTGTCAAATTCTGTTATAGGAACAGATGGAAGCTGAGACAGAAGGTAGTGGTAGCATCTTGATCTTCTTTTTTTTAATATTTATTTTTAGTTATAGGTGGACACAATATCTTTATTTTATTTTTATGTGGTGCTGAGGATCGAACCCGGTGCCTCACGCCTGGTAGGCGAGCACTCTACCTCTGAGCCACAACCCCAGCCCCATCTTGATCTTACTGAGCACTTGTGTGTCAGAAAACATGAAGGGATCATTGGGATGTCCTGAAAAGTCTGTAACTAAGAGAACATTATAATTGACTCCATTCCTTTAGAGAGAGTATTTAGCAGCAACCTGAAGGAGGAGACAGAAGAAAGGAAAGAACAAAGGTTAGGAGAGCAGTTGAGAAAAACCTAATTCACATTAGAGCAGCTGAGAAAAACCTAATTCACATGCAAAATGAGGCTGACAACAGGAAAGAAAAGGAGAGAGGATATTAAAAAGATAATACAAGGCTATGGGTGTAGCTCATTGGTAGAGCACATGCTTAGCATGGACAACACCCAGGATTCAATCCCCAGTACCACCACCACCACCCCCCAAAAAAGTAAGAATAATAATAATGAGGAGGTAAAATGACCGGGCAGTGACAACTAGATGTGGAAAAGTGAAATAAAGATTACATTTTGATTCAGAGAGACTAGATCAATGTAGGGCCACATTTACTCAGGGAACATGCAAGAGGAAGTATATGTTTGGACCAGAGATGGACAGCATTGGAGTTCACTGCATAATGATGGTAAAGTAACAAATTAGAGAAAATTAAATATTAGGTTATATAACCTCCACTCCAGCAAAGATAACCTCCAGTAGCAGTTTTGGTCTATGTACTATAGTGAGTACAGATACACCATATAAATTCCTTGCCAATGATAAACTAAAACTCTAATTAAATACTTTATGGAAGCTTCCAACTCTTTAAAAGACCTACACTCATATAACACTATTTAGATATACATGATGTATGTGTTCCATAAAAAATATAGTACTTTCCTTTTTTGTCAGTAGATATTTTTACAAGAGTGCCAGGTAATTTAATGGAGAAAGAACAGTCATTCTACCAAATCTGGTCCCCCATAACATACATAAAAATTAACCCAAAACAGGTCATAGATCTTAATGTAAGGACTAAAATTCTCAGGACAAAAAAAACATGACAATATCTTGTAAAACCTTATATGTTAGGCAATAGATTCTTGGATGTGACATGAAAAACATAAACAACAAAAGAAAAATACATGAACGGGACTTTATCCAAATTAAAAACTTTTATTGCTTAAAAATACTAATGTGAGGGTTGGGGTTGTGGCTCAGCGGTAGAGTGTTTGCCTAGCATGTCCGAGGGCCTGGGTTCGATCCTTAGCACCACATAAAAATACGTGAAATAAGGGTATTGTGTCCAACTCCAACTAAAAAATAAATATTTTTTTAAAATACTGATGTGACAGTAAAAAGACATCCCATAGAATGGGAAATTTTTTTTTTTACAAATCATATATCTGAGAGAGAACTTGTATCCAGAATATACAAAGAATACTTACGGGCTGGGGTTGTGGCTTAGTGGTAGAGCGCTTGCCTGGCACATGTGAGGCCCTGGGTTCCATCCTCAGCACCACATAAAAATAAATAAATAAAGGTATTGTGCCCAACTACAATATATTATTTTAAAAAAAAAGAATTCTTATAACTCAACAATAAAAAGATAACCAGGTTTTAAAATGGTAAAAAGATTTGAATAAGCATTTCTTCAAAGAAGATGGACAAATGGCCAATAAGCACATGATGATCAACATCATTTGTCATTAGAGAAATGCAAGTCAAAACCAGAATGAAATACCACTTCACACTCACTAGAATGGTAATGATAAAAAGAATACCAAGTGTTGTTGAGGATGTGGAGAAGTTGGAACCTTCATACACTGCTAGTGGGAATGTAAAATGATACAGCCACTTTGAAAAATAGTCTAGCAGTTTGTCAAAAAATTAAACACAAAAAGTATAACAGCGAATCCACTCCTAGGTAAAATCCCATTAGAAATAACTCCTGCACAGATCTTCATAGCAGCATTATTCATATATGAAAAAGAGTAACACTCCAAACAAAAAAAAAATAAGGAAATAAAAAGTTTAAATAAATAAATGAAAAAGAGTAGAAGCACCCCAATGTCCATCAGATGGAAAGATGAATACATATGTTATATTCATGTAATTGAATGTTTTTCAGCTACAAGAAAGAATGGAACATTGATCCATGCTACACTGTGAATAAACATTAAAAAACAGTATACTGTGAAAAAGAAACCAGACACAAAAGGCCATGTGTTACATGATTCCATTTATGTGAAATATCTAGATTAGGCAAATCCATAGAGACGGAAAATAGATTTTGCGGGGGGACTTAGGAAAGGAGAGAATGGGAATATCTGCTTAATTGATTGAGGTTTCCTTTTAAGACAATGAAGATAATCTGGAAATGGTGCTGATGACCTCAGAACATTGCAAATGTGCTAAATGTCACTGTGGTACACTTTAAAATGATTAAAATCATTTTAGATTTTAGACTGTAGATATTATGTTATGTGTACTTTGCCACAATAAAAATAGGTGAATTGGGGCTGAGATTGTGGCTCAGTGGTAGAGTGCTCACCTAGTGTGCATGAAGTACTGGGTTCCATCCTCAGCACCACATAAAAATAAAGATATTGTGTCCACCTAAAAAAAAACTGAAAAATAAATATATTTTTAAAGGGGTGAATTTTATGGTATATAACTTCTCAGTAAAGCTATTACATAAATAAAAGGCATAATAGCTTATATTACTAACCAGAGAATTGTGCGAGGGGGGGTGTGAAATCCAATCCCAAAGATTATATATACTGGATGATTTCATTTTTATAACACTTCTGAAAGGGTAAATTTTTAGAAAGAAGAACTGATTAGTGGTTTTTAGATGTTAAGGATGGGGATGGAAGGAGGTAGGTTATAAAAGGACGACTTGAGGGACCATTATTATGAAATGTTCAGAATCTTGCCTGGTGATAGATATGGGATCCTACACAGATGATAAAACCATATCAAACCAAATACACATGCATACAGGTAACTTGGTGAAATCTGAGCATGCATGGTGTCAGTATCTTGATTATGATGTTGTACTAGCGTATAGGACACTACTAGGGGAAGTAGGCAGATTGTACATGGGATCTCTCAGTAGTATTTCTTACAACTAACTGCATGTGATTCTATAATTATCCCAATTAAAATTTCAGTTATTAAACAGCCATGAGATAAATATCTTCGGAATTTTTTTCTGTAGGTAAACTTCCAATAAAGTATGTAATATCTTATCTTCAAGTAATAACCAAAATCAGAGTCCACGCTGACGCCCATTTTGTCAGTGGTTTTACTTGTGCCTTCCCTTAAGACCAAGCTGCAGTAGGTGGGTGGTTCTTAATTTCAGCAATGCAGTAGTTTTCCAAAATAATGAAGATGTTGAGTATAGAAAAAGCCTAAGCTTAGGCTGCCTTTTTTGCTTTTTATTTGTTTGTTTGTTTGTGTGCTTGTTTGTTTTTGTTTTTTTTTTTTTTAAGTCACATTCAACAAAGGAAGAATGTTGTTAGTATTTCCTGGTCACTGATATTAGAAAATTTACATGTCAACATTTCAGCAAAGAGAAAATGAGTTTTAAATGAATAAAAACACATTTCTGTGTAGCAGAATCCGTGCTGTTAACATCTCATGTTTAAAAAGATAAACAACAGGATTAACTGTTTACTTTGGGAGCGGAGGCTGGTTGTTTTTGAAGAGGAGAACACAATGTCCTGCTGTCTCTGGTTTCCCGTCGTCTGCAGGCGCTATGGAGCTGGCGCCCTCCGCCCCCCTCCACCCTGGGTACTGGCACCCACTTTTCTCAGGGAGCTCCCCTCCCACTTGGGCTCAAACCCTCTCCTCTCTTCTCCTCTTTTCTTTACTCCTCGCTCCCCCAGCTCCTTTTCCCTTTGTCTCTCGGTTTATTTTCTCACTTCATCCTTCGGTTTCTTCTTTCTCTTCCTTGGGTTGAGGTTTAGTAAGAGCGGAATATAATAAGTGGAGAGGAATATCCTTGTTGATCTCTAGAGGCTGCTGCAGTTGACAGTGACCTAGAATAAAACAGCCGTGCCTGACTCTGATTCCCGGAATTCTTGGAGGACTGCTAAGAACTGCCCCCATCACTCGCGTAAACATCCCACATGGTCACTTAATCTCTTGCTGAGCACACATGCGTGCGCAGACACACACGTCTGCTGTTTCCCTCACTCTGCCTCCTTGCTCGAATAGCTATGAAATTGAGCCAGTGAATGAAAGAAAGGGAAGTTGCATAGTTTTGAAAAGTGGGGGAGGGGCACTGAGATTTTCAAAGAGGAATTATGCTCCTTAAATCTCCCTCTGTAAATCTACAGTTTTGCTTCCCTTGTGATTTCGTCTGTTGCCTTTACAGATGAATAAGACATGTATCTTTATAAGTTTTAAAATATTCTCCAGTGCACATAATGTGACTTTAAGCTGGTAAGGGCAGGAAGAAAAACTCCTCAAAGGCAAACATTACCTCCATAATGGACTTTTAAACTTCCAGCCATGATATGGCTGTGATTGAACCAGAAACCTCTTATCTGTGTGATTTTATGTTGTTGGGAATGCACTTTGGAATGTGGTTTCATTTGGCACCAATTTTAGTCAATTCTTCCTACATGGTCCAGGCCTCACCCTCATGGTTCAGAAATGCACAGAATCAAAGTCCCACAAATGGCTTCTGAAAGGTACTCTGCTGGGGTGCTGCTCCATGAATCCATTTTCTGGCTGCTGCAGTTTCTTCCCACCTCAAAGGGATGACTGGGTACAGGGGCAAGCTGTAGACACTGGGCATTTTAATCCTTATTTATTGCTTACTCAGGATGGAGATACCTTACAAAGCAGAGCTACACCATGAGGTCAGTGGCATAGGGCTCATCACAAGGGGAGTCCTCTGTTAGGAGCTCATGTCTAGATGGTAACCTTGCATCCCTGGCTTTCAGACCCCCCCTCCCTCTTAGCCCCTTTGCTCACTGAGGTTAGTCCTTTTATAAAGATGCAGACACATGACGATCTATGACAATGTAAATTTTCCTAATGGGTGAAGGAAACTAAGATTTTGAGGTACTTAGCTAGATGTGAATGAAACAAATGAAAATTAATTACGGGGATTGCACAGGGGCCAGCTGGGGACCCATGTCCATCAGCTACAGAGCTCAGAAAGGAACCCCTTCTCCAGACTGTGCAGCTCCCCTGTACAACGTTTATAGTCATAAAAATGGAGTGGGGTGTTTGGATGAGTGTCATTGTTTTAGACATGAGAGGGGCATTGACCTTAATAAAGTGGGAATCACTCATGAGAGTTATTTTAAGAACAGAGTGGGGAGCTCTGTGTGTGATAGAATGAATGTGTTTCTGGGGCTTTTATACTAACCAATAACTTTTTACTTACCTCCCTGTGAGACATTTTTATGCTTTTCTATGTATTTATGTAAGTTAATCACTCCTAAAAATAGCAGGGTCCCTCTCAGGGTACCTACCAACAGTGCTCAGTGCCGTGTAGGGCATGGAAAGTCATTGTGAGGCTGAGAATGTAGCTCAGTGGTGGAGCACTTGCCTAGCCTGTTCAATGCCCTGGGTTCAATTACCAGTATACTAAATGAAAAATAAGATTATTTTAAAAAAGAAAGTCACCTGTGGCATAAGCTTATCTATCACTAGCAGTGGAAAATTTGGTGTAAGTGAATGTGTATATTTTCCTTGCCTACTGGCAAACCAGCAAAAGTATATACTCAATCAGCCTCCCAAAGGGGAAGCTCAATTTTATAAACACTCATCTTTCATATAACTTTAAAACGTCAAATTTCCTAACTCACCCAACCCCCATTGCTAGCTACTAGTTCCCAGTACTTAAGAGCCAACTGAGGATGGTGCTTATATCTTTTAGTTTTCCTTCAAGGCATGGCCACATACTGTTAAAGCATCTTCCCCAATTCAAGTTCTGATGCCTGAACTGCAATCTCTATGTCTGTCTAAAATAACTGAAAAGGTCTTTGTAGATGTACCCCTTATCTTATGAAAGGAATATCATCCCAGAGAGTTTCCTGAGCTTGTTAGAGGTGTCAGCAGGGCCAGTACCTCAGCCCCTCTGCCTGTGTTGCCTCTGTCACCCAGTTTTGACTCATATCCTCCACTGGGCATTTTGGACTCCATGTACTATGCTAATCAACTTAGTCCTTGCCTACTCCTGGACCAAAACCACCTAATTCTGCAGCTTCTCTGTTCTCTAAAATGAGACTCACATTCAGCTGCTGTAACCTTCACAACCATTTACCTTTTTGGAAACCTCAGCTAATGTAGGCTCTGCCTGTCATTCACAGCCATGCTTTCCTATTTACCTTGCAATGTTTTTCTAACACATTCTCATGTGCTAGCAGAAGCCAAGGAGGCACAGAAGATGGTGGTAATGTGAGGATGGGAGATCAAGCATGGAGGGAAGGGCGCAGGGTAAACTGACAAGTTTATGCCTTACCAGAGGGGCAGCGGCTTCAGGTTTCTAGGGTGTAAACCCACTGGCACAAGAGATGCAGGCTTCTCAGGATAAAAAGAAATTTGAATTTTTAATTTAAGTTACTAAATGTTTAAAATTTTAACATTGTATAAACCAAAGAAAATATATTAGCCAGTAGATTTGGCCCATGAGCACCACTTGATAGTTTGATTAGGTCAGTGGACACCCACCAGAACTAAGAAGTCCCTATTCAAGCCATCCTCCACCCTGCCCTAAAGTTGCATTTACAAAACAAAATTTTTATTAGAATATTCTTTTTTAAAAATTTTTTAGTTGTAGTTGGACACAATACCTTTATTTATTTTTATGTGGTGCTGAGGATCGAACCCAAGGCCTCGTACATGCTAGGCAAGCGCTCTACTGCACATGTTAGGCGAACACTCTATTGCTGAGCCACAGCCCCAGCCCTAGAATATTCTTTTATATATGACACCTTTTAGTGACATCTCAACATTTGTGCGTTGAATGGTAGGAAGCGGGTGAGCTGACACATGTGCCCATTACCCACCACCCCAGTTCCTAGGTCTTTCTAGCCTTCTTCCACAGGCCCCTTATGGCCTTCACCATCCCCCAAGTTGGCATAGCTAGAAACCAGTTGTGCTTAATCAGGATATGGTACCTCCCCAAACCTCTTCCTACCCAGCAATTTTTCTCATCATCCCCATTTACTTTCTTCTTTTCAAATACTATTTGAAATTTTCACTTCATAGGAACTAGGAGTAGGGACATTGGCCACTTCTGCATGCATGACATCCCTGAGCTAAAGTAGGTACTATGGGGGGGGGGGGGGGGGGGGCACTGCTCTTCTGGGCTTGCTTCTAACCTGTGAGTGAGCTGTAGTGGGGCAATTAGGTCAGTATTCTTGGCCTGCCACACTTGGTAGAGATGTTGGTAGTCATTCCTCCCAGTGTGAAATGTTCCTTAGACTAGGGAACATAGTCTAGTCTGGCTAGGCAGAGGGAGCCATCTTCTTAATTGTACCTGCCTTAGTAGAGCCCTAGAATAACCTCGCAAGATGAATTTTTGGTAGGGGGTGAGTTATGACTCAAGGGCCACAAACTTGTGTTCTTGCTGTTCTTACTGAATGTTAGTAGATTTTCTTGATTCCATTCATGGAATGTTTTTCCATTTGCTGTAACACAATTTCCAGAGACTCTAAATGATTGGTTTTTATTGTTTTGTCCAGTTAAATGTTTGTTTACTGAAGAGAGATACCATTGCATCTTCACCCTCCTATTCTGGAAGTTGGTCTTCTATTTGTTTCTTTGATTTACTTCCATTGGAAATAAAAATCTTTTGGTCATCATGTGTCAGTGAGAAAAAAGAATGGCTCTTTAGCCCTTATTCTGTAAATTTAGAGAAAAGTTCTGAATTTGTAGACCTAATTGGGTGTTGTTCTTTTTTTCCTAAGAGACATCTTGATTTGCTTGAACACAATAAACTACCTAAGTACAAATCTATGAAGTCAGAAAATAGAAGTGCAACAGATGTAGTGAGGCACAGAGGGCATCAGAGCCATGAAACAAGATGCTTAATAACTAAAGCACTTAGGGGTTTGTCTTTGGGCTTCAAAATGGTGCCTTGACTTTTGGGGGTGTCTCGTAAATCGGTGATCCGCCCATTTATGTGCTAATACAGCAGAGTTAGCTGTGCTTGATGGTACATGCCTATAATTCCAGTGACTCGGGAGGCTGAGACAGGAAGATTGCAAATTCAAAGCCAGCCTCAGCACCTTAGCAAGACCCCATCTCAAAATATTTTTAAAAAAAGGATTGGGGATATAGCCCAGTGGTAGAGCCCCCGGGTTCAATCCCTAATACTGCAATACAAGCATGCATACATACGTACAGCAGAATTGACTCTTGGCTAGGCTCTCTATAAGGCTAAGCAGTCCCTACCCTCTGTGCTTCCCTGGAAGAGAGACCTAATGCACAGACAAGCTTGTAATCGCAAACTCTGTGAGTACTAGGAAAGAAGTTGAACATGGTGCCAAGAGATAGAACTTGGGCATGAGGTGAACTGCTCTAGCCATTATAGTCAGGGAAGGCTTCTTTAAGGAAGTGATCTCTAGGCTGAGCCTGAAGCAACAGCTAGCTCTGCAAACAGATAAGAAAAAAAGCATTCACAACAGATCACAGTGTGTGTGAAACCCTAAGATGGGAAGGAGTTTTTCCATGTTTAAAAAGTTGAAATAAGGCCAAAAAGATAATGAGAGAAAAGGAAGATAGGTGTTGGAACAAGCTACTGTAGCAAAAAAATACCATGGACTATGTAGTTCATGAACAACTAAAATTTATTTTCTCATAGTTCTGGAGGCTCAAAAGTCCCAGATCAAAGCAGATTTTCTCTGGTATCTCTTTTATAAGGGTGCTAATCCTATTCATGAAGTCTCTGTCCTTATAACCTAATACTAAAGGCCTTAGCTCCTCCTAGTACCATCATCTTGGTAGTAAGGATTTCAACATTAGAGTTTTGAAGGACACAAACCCTCAGACCACAGCAATAGGGGAAAGCAGAGATAAGGAAAATATTTAACATTTGGGAATTCCAAAGCATTGTTCTTAACTTAAAATCAAAGTTACATTTATGAAATCTCCAAGCTTTTGCCAAGCAAGCAGAGCAGGTTGTAAGAAGAATGATATAGTATCGCCTAAGGGAGCTGACTTTATTTTGAACTGGGTGGAAGAATTCCACGTTCAAGAGTACTGTTGAAAATAATGGGGTTCTTGGTGGAGAACAATCAATGTGTGTAGCTTCATAATACTGTATCAACCACCAATGGCAAAGAAATAAATTCACAGAGAGAATCAGAGAAAAAAAGACAGCCACAGAGCCCTACCAGGGTTACAGTCAAACTTTGGGGTCCTCAATATTGCATAAATGCTCAACTGTACCCACTCAGGAGCAGTCAGAGCAGCGCACAGAGTGGAGTTGAAAGAGATCAGTCAGTAGAGGGTGAAGGCCTCCCTGGCCCTGTGGCTTCAGCACCACCTCTGACCATACTGGAGGAACAATGAGCTACTCTGACCTAGGGGCACCCCCTAGGAAACCAGCATTTAAAATAAAACCACACACATCTCTGGCAGTCTGGCACACCCTAGGCCTTACCCTCACTGGAATGGCTAAAGAGAGAAAATTGGAGCTCTGCTGGAAGGAGGGAGAAAGGCAAAGCCTATACCCCTTTGAGCTGGGATTGCACATCCAGTCATAAAGAGTCAAAATCAAACTGGCTGAGAGAACTTAAGCACAACCTTTCACCCATTCATGGCTTATGGTAAACTGGGGCAACCCCTGTGTATCCCCGATGAGAAAATGAAAACAAAAAAGGAATCTAAGCAGGAACATCAGAGGCTGTACCCTGTGGGGAAAATAAACTTTTCAGAGTTAATTCAGACAAGTCACTACAGAACCATGCAAATGGCAATATCATCAACCCCCAGGGTAGGGGAGGAATCAGTTCCAGAATCACTACAATATCTTATCAGAAATGCCCACTTGTCAACAACAACAACAAAAAGTTATAGGACATAAAAAGAAACATGTGAACTATACTCAGGTAGAGGGGGAAAAAATACAGAAGATTGAACATGGTTTCGGAGCCAAGTTTTGTGAAACATACATTAGTCCCTGTTACTGAAGAGGCCAAGGCAAAGGATCAAGTTCAAGACTAGCCTGGGCAACATAGCAAAACTCTGCCTGAAAGAGAGGGTTGGGAGGAGAAAAAGGAATTGCTTTTGGAGAGAACCAGGTGTTGGACTTAGTAGACAAAGATTTTGATACGGCTATTAAAAATTTATGTTTAAAGAACTAAAAGAATTAAAGAACAGGGCTCATTTGTAGCTCAGTAGTGGAGCACTTGCCTAACATGTGTAAGGCCTTGGGTTCAGTCCTCAGCACCACATAAAGATAAATAAAATAAAGATATTGTGTCCATCTACAACTAAAAATATATATTTTTAAAAAGAATTAATGATTATATCTAATAAAATAGAGATTGTCAATAAGGGAAACATTGGAATTAGAAAACAGAACTTCAATAGAGGATCTCAACAATACATTTAACATGGCAGAAGGAAGAATTAGAGGACTTGAAGCTGATAATCAAGATTATGCAATCCAAGCTAGGTGTGGTGGAACATGTCAGTAATCCCAGCTATTATGGAGCTATAGAAGAAGGATCTTCAAGTTCAAGACCAGACTGGACAATTTAGAGAGACCATGTCTCAAAATAAATTTAAAAAAAAAAAAAGGTTTAACGATGTATGAGGCCCGGGCTTAATCCCTAGTAACATGGGAAAAAAATATGAAGAACAATGGGGGGAAAAAGAACAAAGAAAATGAAACAGAACCTTAGAGAAACATGGAACACCATTAAGTGCATCAGTACATGTAATGAGAGTGCCAGAAGGAGGGAGAATGGTGAAAAAGAAATATTTGAAGAAATAATGGCTAAAACTTCTCAGATTTGATGAAAAACTTTAATCTACAGATCCAAGAAGTTCAGTAGAGTCCAAGAAGGATAAATTCAAAGAAATACACGCCCAGAACCTCATAGTCAAAATGTTGAAAACCAGAAATAAAGATAAAATCTTAAAAGCAGCAAGAGAAAAATCACTCATCATAGATGAACAAACCCAATAAGAAACAAGCCAATTTCTCATCAGAAACAATGGGGGCCAGAAGACAGTGGAACAACATATTGAAAACACTGAAAAGAAATCAATTACTTACATCACCCTTTCTTTTTGGCCTTATTTCCTAAGGTTAAGTCAGTAGGATTGAATGTTGATTATTTCATCTTAGCCAACACACTTCCTCATTTTTGTAGAAACCAAAGACCATTAGATTGGAATGTAGTAGCACTTACCTTGCATGCCCAAGGCCCTGAGTTCATTCCACAGTACCATGAAGGGACAGAGGAAGGAAGGAAGGAAGGAAGGGAAGAAACCAAAGGCATGTTAAACTTTCACAGAAATACTAGGCCATAGCAAGTCTCTATAAATATTAAAGAATCATTATTAAAGAATACATCATTCACCTTAGTGCAATTTAATTAGTAATAAAAGTTACATATTTTAAGTACTTATAGAAAAAATTCAGCTAGGTGCAATTCCAGCAACTTGGAAGGCTGAGGCAGGAGGATCACAAGTTTGAGGTCAGCCTCAGCAACTTAGTGAGGCCCTAAACAACTTAGGAAAACCCTGTCTCAAAATAAAATATAAAAAGGGCTGGGGATGTGGCTCAGTGATTGAGTGCCCTGGGTTCAATCCCGAGCACCAAAAAAAAATTTTTAAAGAAAAACATATAATACTTACAAAGAACTCATGGATCAATGAAGAAATAATAATGTAAATTTTTAAATTTAGCTGATAAACAATGAAATACTAAGAATCAAATTCATATGGTGTCATATTTAGAACAAAATTTATAGTCTAAATAGCTCATATTTTAAAAAGAAGAAAGGCTTAGAAGGAAGATTAGAAATATGAGTAGAAATTAATGACATAAGCAAATAAACAAAGCCAAAAGTTGGTTGTTCAAAATGATTAATAACAATCCTAAGGTAAAACTGAAAAAAAGAGAAGACAAAATAATACTGAAAAGGAAATATATATAGCCAGGCACAGTAGCAAGAAATTATCAAGAAACCTATAATCCCAGCAGCTTGGGAGGCTGAGGCAGGAGGATCGAGAGTTCAAAGCCAGCCTCAGCAATGAAGAGGCACCTAGCAAACTCAGTGAGATCCTTTTTCTAAATAAAATACCAAATAGGACTGGGGATGTGGCTCAGTGGTTGAGTGCCCCTGAGTTCAATCCCTGGTACCCCCCATATATATATATATATATACAGGCATCAACTCTCAGGGATGAGAAACATAGTGAAGATACTTTAGCACTTTTAGGCCAATAATGAAATGGAAAGAAGTCCCTACAAAAATATATTTTACCAATATGGCTGAAGAAAGAAGAAATTAGCTTAAATGGTCCATTTCTCACTGGAGACATTAAATTGGTAGTTAAAATCTTCCTAGGGAAGAAAAGCACTAGAGCCATAGAGTTTTATCACCAAATTCTTCTAAACTATCAGACCCAGATCAAGTCTTATATAGATTTTTCAAAGAAAAAAATAAAAAGATGTCTTCATCAACTCATTCTGTGAAGTGGATACAAGCGATCTTGATACAAAATCTAGAATACAAAATACAATTAAAGGCCAGTATCACTCATGGATATAAAACAAAAAAGCAGTAAGATCTGAGTTTTACCTCAGGAATGGAAAATTACTTTAACACTTGCAAAGAATATATAAATTGTCATTTACTACATTAAAGGAGAAAACATATAATCATTTCAGTTAATATAGAAAACGCATTTGACAAGATCCAAGACCCATATATAAGGAAAAACATTTCCTTACTTACCAGGAATCCCTTAGTCAAATGAAGGATCTCTTACCAACAAATATGTGAAAAACTGATCAACACCTGTAGAAATCAGAGAAATGCAAATCAGAATTATACTAGGATTTCATCTTACTCCAGTCAGAAGGGCAATTATCAAGAAACAAATGATCATAAATATTGGTGAGGATGTGGGGAAAAGTTAGTCATGCAATGTTAGTGGGTCTGCAAACTATTACAACCATTCTGTAAAGCAGTATGGATATTCCTCAACAAACTAGACATGGAACAACCACGTGATCCAGCTATCCCAGTCCTCGACTTTTAATCCAAAAAAACTCAAATCAGTGTATTGTAACAATACAGCAACTTCAGTGTTTATAGAGGCACATTTTACAATAGCCAAGTTACAAAATCAGTCCAGATGCCTATTAATAGATGGATGGATCAAGAAAATGTGGTATATATACACAATGGAGTTTTACTCAGCCATAAAGAGGAATGAAATAATGGCATTTGCTAGTAAATGGATAGAAATAGAGAAAACCATGTTATATGAAATAAGCTAGACTCAGAAAATCAAGGGTCGAATATTTTCTTTATATGTGGAAGCTAGAGAAGGCAATGGGGGAGAGAATCGGATATCTTAAAGATTTAGAGAAGATCAATAGAGTAGAAGTAGGAGAATGAACTGGGCACTGTGGCACATGCCTATTATCCTAGTGACTCAAAAGGCTAAATCACTAGTTCAAAGCCATCCTGAACAACTTAGCAAGACCTTAGGCAACTTAGAGTGACGCTGAAATAAAACATAAAAAGGGCTGAGAATGTGGCTCAGGGGTTTAGCGCCCCTAGGTTAGATTCCTGGAACCAAAAAAAATGAAAGGCCTTGACTATTCTGGGTCTCTTTATTTTTTCCAAATGAATTTTATGATTGCTTTTTCTATTTCTATAAGGCATGACATTGGGATTGTAATTGGAATCAGATTGAATCTGTATAACTTAACACCAAAACAAACAAACAACCCAGTCAGTAAATGGGCTAAGGAGCTGAACAGACACTTCTAAGCTGTAAAATTTATCAACAAATATATGAAAAAATGTTCAACATCTCTAGTAATTAGAGAAACGCAAATCAAAACTACTCTAAGATTTCATCTCATACCAGTCAGAATGGCAGCTATCGAGAATACAAACAAGGGGCTGGGTTTGTAGCTCAGTGGTAGAGCACTTGCCTTGCACGTGTGAAGTACTGGGTTCAATCCTCAGCACCACATAAAAACAAAATAAAGGTATTTTAAAAAAAGATACAAACATCAATATGTGTTGGCAAGGATGTGAGAGAAAAGGCACATTCATACATTATACATTGCTGGAGGGACTGCAAATTGGTACAATCAATCTGGAAAGCAGTATGGAGATTTCTTAGAAAATTTGGAATGGAACCACCATTTGACCCAGCTATCGCACTCCTTCCAAAGAACTTAAAATCAGCATACTATAGTAATGCAGCCACATCAATGTTTATAACAGCTCAATTCACAATAGCTAAACTGTGGAACCAATCTAGATGCCCTTCAGTAGATGAATGGATAAAGAAACTGTGGTATATATACACAATGGATGAAAGAATAAAATTATGCCATTTGCAGTAAATGGATGAAGCTGGAGAATATCATGCTAAGCGTGATCCAATCCCAAAAAACCAAAGGCCGAATGTTCACTCTGATAAATGGATGCTGACCCATAATGGGGGTGGGGGATGGGGAAAATGGGGGAACTTTGATTGGGCAAAGGGGAAGGAAAGGAGGGAGGCGGGTACAGGGGCAAGAAAGATGGTGGAATGAGATGGAAATTATTACGCTAGGTACATGTATGACTACACATATGGTGCGATGCTACAACGTGTACAATCAGAGAAATGAAAACGTGCTACACTTGTGTACAGTGTACAATGAATCAAAATGCATTCTGCTGTCAAATATACCTAATTAAAATAACTAAATACATTTTTTAAAAAAAGAATGGAAGGAAGGAAGGGAAAGGAAAAGAAATGGAAGGAAATCTAACAATCATTTTATATACATATATAAATATACAAAAAGAAATTTCACCTTTGTGTATATGTAGACAGTACCAATCAAAAATAAATAAAGGAGTGAAAGGGAGATCAGTAAAGAGAAAACAGGGAGAGAAGGGAAAGAAAGCAAAGGGAGAATGGGGATTAAAGTCAAGTTCCTTGTATGTATAATTATGTCAAAAGGAACCCAAATACTATGTATAAATAATAATGCTCTAATAAAAAAGATTTCAGAAATGTTAACATTATGAAATGGTTAGATAAAACTACATAAAAAGGATCATAAATAAGTTTGGTTAAGATTTATAGATTACCGAAGTCCAGAATTCAAGTCAGTTGTAATTCTGTACACCATTACTGGTGTAATTCTGTACACCAGTGGCATACAACAACAAACACAACTACCATTTAAAATAGAAAAAAAGGGGGGGAGGGAGAATGGTGGAATGAGTCAGACATTATTCCCTATGTACATGTATGATTGCAGGACTCGTGTGTATTGTGTACAGCCAGAGGAATGAGAAGTTGTGCTCCATTTGTGTACAATGTGTCAAAATGTATTCATTCTACTGTCATATATAACTAATTAGAACAAATAAGTAAATAGGAAACAACATACATAATCTAGGCATATGTCTAACAAAATATATATAAGAACTATATAGAGAAAATTATAAAACTTTAATATAAAAATTAACCTGAGAACCCTGCCAAGGGAAGATTTATCTGCTGGTGCCATTCACTGTACCTAGCCCTATATAATGAATCATTTCAATGCTTGCTACAGCCCTCTAAGCTAGGTTCTTTTATTCCCGCGTTAAAATGAGTAAATTCAGTCTCAGACAGGTAAGGAACTCTTGCAAAGTCCAGAGTTATAACATGATGCTACCTCCCTGGGAAGCCATTTGGGTTCCATTGAATGATACAATTTATGGTAAATTTCTGGTGATTCAAGAAAAACAAGTCAGTTATGGGGCCATTTCTGCTCAGACCTGTCATACCAGCACTGATTTTTAGAGATAGTGTTTCACTGAGCAGAAACTATTGACAAGTGGGTGGAATTCCATGTTGCTGCTGATAAGTTAACTCTGGTTTGGGCTGTCTGTTGAATGCCAATTTCAATCCAGTTGAACCAACAGGGATGATGACTCCACCTCTGGCCTGAGCCAGCCTTCACTGAGCCACAGCTTAGGAGGAGATCATGTGTGACTAGGTATGAACACAAGAAAGAAAAGCAGAATAGTGATAACTCATCTCTGCTGTGAAAGAATAAACAAAAAGACTCTTCCTAGGTTTATCTGAGATAAAGGCAAATCAAAAACTTCAAGCAAAATACAGCCAATTCTCCACCCCTCTCTTAGCACAGTCAAAAAGAGAGGAACTTTGCATTTGAATCAATGTGGATTTTTGTTTTCTTCTTAACTTTTGTAAATGTTAACAAATAGTAATCACTTAAAGCCAAGTCTAGAATATATCAGTAGTGGACATGCTTTCTCTTAATGTCACTGTGTGAGGCAGGAATAGGGCCACTTTCACTCTTTCTACAGGAAAGCCTATGGCGGCCTTCTCAGTAAATGCAGCCTGGTTCTCCCTTTGTGGCCTGGTCCCCCAGGCTCTGACTCATTATCCCTATTCAGACATGGAATAGAGACGTAAGGCAGTTGAGGAGGAAGCTAGGGCAAGATGAATCCTTTAAAGCTTCTATAGATATAAGTTCAACATAAAAGTTTATGTTTTCAGCCAGACACTGTGGCACACACCTGCAATCCCAGTGACTCAGTAGGCTGAGGCAGGAGGATCTCGAGACCAGCCTCAGCAACTTTGTGAGACCCTCTCTTAAAATAAAAAATAAAAAGGACTGGGAATGGAGCTCAGTGATAGAGCACCCAGGGATTCAATTCCCAGTCTGTCTCTCCCCCCCCCCCCTCTCCCCCCCCCCCCCCCCCTCTCTCTCTCTTTCTCTCTCTCTCTCACACACACACACACACACACACACACACATTTTTATTTCTACTGTTGCATAGCTTTCTGGAAACTAAAACAGACTTCGGCTGCCAGTAAGAAGGAAGCAAAACAAAGCATGATTGGACTTTGAATTAAAAATCAGTTCCAATCTTCAAATCTCCACCAGCTCAACTGCCCATAAAGTTTGAGGACAGACAATCAGTGACTTCATGCATGGTTTCAATATTTTTTCCTTCCCATTTTGAGGAAGCTAGAAGCCATGAGCTACTGAACTAAAGATGTCAATTAAGGAGGAAAGATATGGGGTGTAGGAAATAGGAAAACCAGCATAGCAGAGAAGCAAAGAGAACCCCCAAATTTTGTGACAGGAAATACCAGAATGACTGCTGGGCCTCAGGTGTGAATGCTAACACATCCAGGTTGAAGTAGAGCAGAAGCTCTTCAGGACCAAATCCCTGGGAGGTTCAGCATCCTGAGAAAAGGTGTTAACAATTAACAGAGATTTTGTGTAGAATTCTTGGTAGTAGGTAGATAACTAATTTTAATATGTAAATAGGCAAAGTATTGTTTTATTATATACAAGACAATCAGTTTCCTAATATGTCATGATCTATAAATTCTGACGAGGTATTTTTATTATCAACAGTTCAAAGTATAGTTTCCCACTGTGATTTCCTATTTGACTTAAAAATTGAAAAATATGTTGTAAAATTTGCAAATATAAGAGGATTTTTAAATACATATTTTTGCTTGATTTCTTTCTTAATTTTATTGTAGGCAAAGAATTGTGTCATATAATATGAGTTCTTTGGAATTCATTGAAACTTGCTGTATGACAAAGTCCAAGCCCGGGTTTTGTACATTAAGAATGCACATTTTTTTCCGGTTTTGTTTGATTGGTTTTTGTTTTGTTTTGCTTTGCTTTGTTGGTATTAGACATTGAAATAAGGAGTACTAAACACTGAACAAAGGGGTACTGTGCTACATCCCCAGTCTTTCTTATTTTTTATTTTGAGACAGGGTCTCCCTAAGTTATTGA